TGAGGCAATAAAAAAAAAAAGACTAATAACTTTTCACTTTGATACAATTAAACAAATATCAGATAGTGTTAGAATTAATCACTTGATTTTATATTCAAGTACATAAAAAAGGTCCATTTATCTTTTAGGTTGATCTAAAATTAAAAATTTTAATTGTTTGCTTCTCATTAACACATTTATCGCATTAAGTTATATTTTACAATATTTTATAATTTCTTAATGAACGAATTTATTAAAAAAAAAAAAAAATACATTGAAAAATTTGCAGTTGTCAATGTCAAGTTTAAGTAGATTATTATTGGATATATCATAAAAAATAAATTTATATTTTAAGACTGATGATAATATAATAGTACTATTACTAAAAATTTGCTTAAAATAGGAATAAGTAACATCTTTAATTTTTGATTTTTTTATTTATATATATAGATTAATCATAAGCAATCGCAAAGTGAGGACATCTGAACGCAAGTCGTCGGAGCCGCACATTTGAATAGCATAAACAGAGAGAGAGAGAGCGAGAAAATAAATTACGTAAATAATACGAAGACTCTGTTATACTGGAGCAAAACGGAGAAAGTACTAGGGGTGCAGAGTCCCCCGACGCCAACCAAGAAAATCGAGCGACGTGTTGGTGGACTCCGTGGACTGCTATGGGTTGCTTTGGCTCTCCAACTTCAAAACAGTCTGATGTCAACTCGGAGGATTCGAAAAGTCAAAAGCGAAGAAGCGATGCCATATCCAGGCAATTGCAAAAAGATAAACAGCTTTATAGGGCAACGCACAGGTTGCTCTTGCTGGGAGCGGGTGAGTCCGGTAAATCAACTATAGTCAAACAAATGCGGATATTGCACGTCGATGGATTTTCTGAACAAGAGAAAAAACAGAAAATTGATGATATTAAAAAAAATATTCGTGATGCTATATTGGTAAGTCTATTTTTTGATTTTTAACAAATTTTCCCTTTTTTATTTCTTTAAGTTCTTATAACTGGATTTATTAAAAAAAGCTTTTATTCGATCTGGTTAGTTGTAAGTTGATGAGATTGGATGAGATGCGATAAAAAGAAAAAGTAAATAATGAATGATTTAACAATGGGCAAGGAACGATTCATTATAAAGAAAAAAAAACTGAAGATTTGGAATATATTTATATAGAAGAAGCTTCAAATTATTTTTTTTTATACATATATTTCTGCCTCGTATTTCTAAAAAAAAAATCAATATCTAAAGTTGGGCGCTTGACTTTCTCTTAATAACAGGAAATTATCTTTTGGTATTTGGGTAATCAATATGCAAACCAATAAGCTATCAAAACTTAGGTTTTGGGTATAAATGAATGCCTTATTTGTTTTATGTTTTGAAATATTTCATTCGAATTTTTTTATTTTGTCTTTTGAAGCCCCACTTAACTCCTAACCAGAGGCTTTCAATGGATTACTATATACATACATAAATCGAGTTGCTGAGCAGACAAATCTAAAAATATTAAACTGCAAGTGTGCATAGGAGCGTGTTATCCTGATAAGAATGTTTATAACTAATAATTTTTTACAATTTTCTAATGAAAGAAATTTTTATATAATATGTAAGTATTTTTTTATGATTTATCTTTAAAGTAGCTGTGAGAGAATTATTATTGTTTAGTTTTTGTTCTATCCATTTAAAGGGGACTATACTTATGAATATCTATCAAAATTTGTAATATATAATATATATGTAAAGCAGCAAATATAAAATAAGGGTAAGAAATTAAGGTACCTATTGAAAGCATTCAAATGCAACTTAATTCTATATTATCCGTATCCGTATTATCTGTGTAGAAATTGAAAATTTAGTAGTAAGCTGTTCGAGAAGCTCTAATATTTTCTCAGTTTAACTAAGAAATATCTAATTGTGCTATTGATCTATTTTTCTGTGAAGCTCTTAAATATTTTGACCAGTCAAATATATATAATCCTGTCCGTCTGCCTGAATGTTTGACCTCGCTGATCCTGCGATTGGCTGTGAAACTCAGCAAATAATAATTTTTTATCAATATCGTTTCTCTCAATATCGTAGCTTTTCTAATTAGATCTTGGATGTTAAATATTTTTGAAAAGGGGTTATATGGAGGATCATACTGTCTAACGTATTTAGTATGCCTCCTTCTGGTGATGGTGTCGGAGTTATATGTTGTTGATTGAATTATCGAATGTTGTATGCGGATATTGCTGTTAACTAATTGATGTGTTTGATAAACAATACATTGGCCACCCAATCGTTTTCTATATATATATAATCTAAATTGAACTTTTGCTAATGTTTAATGTATCAGGTACAAGGAATTTTCTTCTTCTATCTAAAGTTGGTATTTTCTTGAGTAGAGCTCTTTAACTTGTTTATAGTTTCTTTTTGTTGCAGGGAAAATATGTTTCAATTAACACTTACTTTTCTTATAATTCCGAAATCTAAAAATTAATATATTTTAAGTGTAAAATTACCAGATCGAAATAAAAACTTTGAAATACCTTTATTATATGTAATGGCTAATAATGAACAATCTATTACTTACAGACTATTACTGGAGCCATGAGCACACTAAATCCACCTGTAGCTTTAGAAAAGAAAGAAAATGAACCCAGGGTGGAATATATTCAGGATTATGCCTCTAGTAAGTTAACAAATACCACAAAATAAACATAAATTTTGATAATAATTTGAGACTATAGCCCTAAAGTACTGTTCAATAATTTCGGTTTGATTTTACTCAGGATCAATAAAATATATATATGTACTTTAGTTTATTACAATAATAATTTCTATTCCAGGTCCTGACTTCAACTATCCTCCAGAATTTTATGAACACACAGAAGAACTATGGAAAGACAAAGGGGTCCTTCAAACCTATGAGAGGTCAAATGAATATCAATTAATTGACTGCGCAAAATAGTAAGTAAAAATTCGATCTGGTGGTGAACAGCTTAAGAGATATTGTTTAACTGTGTAATTATTACTATTTCTGTTTTAATTGATGTGATGTGCACCGAAACTGTTTTTTGAATAACTTTAACTTAAATATATTACTCTTTTATTTAGCACAATAAGTTAATGCCAAATTAATGTGGATTATGCGGTAAATGGATCGTAGACAATATTTAGTTTTTTTGTGAACGCCTTTTTGCAATGAGTGAGCTAGAAATAACTCTGCTGTAATTGGGTATAACCGCTTGTGCAATACACGCTAATTATTTGAAACGCAAATCCGCTGAAATAATTTCGTCTTGAAGATAAACAATGCATAATGCTTTTAGTTTTTAAGCGAGTCTAAAAATGAGTTGAATTAAAAAAAGAGCAATCAGAGCTGTGAGAATAGTTTCTTGTAAATCGAAAAATATCTTAAGGGAATTCACTGAATCCTCCATTTCTTGACTGGTCTACACTAGATCATGGTATAAGCATGTCCCTTACACTGGCTATTATATTTGTATTCGTATTTTTAAATGAGATATCTGTAAGATTAGATTTAACCATGAAGAAATGCCAACTGTAATATATATTTTATTATAATGAATAATTAATAATAATTGTTGCAATTACAATATGTATTCATTTGGTTTTCTCTCATTTCTTTATTGCTATTTAGCTTTTTGGACCGAGTTAGCACAATTAAGAATCCAAATTATACCCCCAATGAGCAGGATATTCTTCGGTGCCGTGTTTTGACTTCTGGAATATTTGAAACAAGATTTCAGGTGGACAAAGTTAATTTTCAGTGAGTTGCAATTGAATAAGCGCTTTAATTTATTAATTACTATAACTTTGCAAATTCCCTGCCTTCAAATAGTATGTTCGATGTGGGAGGACAGCGCGACGAGCGTCGGAAGTGGATTCAATGTTTCAATGATGTAACTGCTATAATCTTTGTAACGGCATGCTCAAGTTATAACATGGTTTTGCGTGAGGATCCCACTCAAAATCGGCTTCGTGAATCCTTAGACTTATTTAAGAGTATTTGGAATAACAGGTATTAAATGGAATTTCTAGATAAATTGCATTGCTTTAATCAAAGTTCCTTTTTCATAGATGGCTACGCACAATTTCTATTATACTTTTTCTAAATAAGCAAGATTTGTTAGCAGAGAAAATTAAGGCTGGAAAAAGTAAATTGTCGGAATATTTTTCCGAGTTTAACAAATATCAAACGCCAAGTAAGTAGATTAATAAATTTAATTAGCATAATAAAAGGCAAAATAAAGGAATAAAAATAAAAACTAAAGACCATGTCGTAATAAATAACTGAAAAATGAATTTCATAATTTTATTTACTTTTTTTTTTTAAATATCATAATGAACAGAAATCAAATTGGAAACGCTTTGATCTATCCCCCCATGTTACCCCCTATATAGGCAAATATCTGTCAATCAAAGTCAATCAATTAAAATTGAATTTGTATTTGTTTTGCCATTGAAGCTAACTATATCGAAATTTCTATAAACTAGGTGACGCAATAATGGAATCTAACGATGACCCAGAAGTAATAAGAGCAAAATATTTTATACGTGACGAGTTTCTGGTAAGTAACCCAAAATTGACTAAAAATAATGATAAATGATTAATTATTTTCAAATAATTTTGCAGCGTATATCGACAGCAAGTGGAGACGGTAAACACTATTGTTACCCACATTTTACATGCGCCGTTGACACAGAAAACATAAAGCGAGTTTTTAATGATTGTAGGGACATAATTCAAAGGATGCACCTTCGTCAATATGAATTGTTATAGGTTATCCCTATCGCCGTAATTCAACAAATAAAGTGAAGAATATATTATTGAATTACTGTTTTAAATATAATTATCAAATGTAATTTGTATTTAAATAGTCCCTTGAAACAAAAAAAAACAAACAACAAAAAAACTAAAAAAAAAAAAAAAAAAAAAAACAAAAATAAAAGCGCTGCATTTAGATCTGGTATGACCTTTCACAAAACTCAACATTAAAGAAGAATAAATAAACATGTTATTAACAATTAGAATTGTTTTTATTGATATTGCTGTATATAGTATTTACAAATACTTTCGATTTCCCAGTTGCTGTTGAGTATATATATTTCGTATCTTTTTTCCCCTGACACAAAGCGCATTTGCGTTAATTATAAATGAGTATACAAGTCTAGTCAAAAGTCAACTATACAAGTGGATTGAGTATGCCGAAGCTGACGGAGGCCTTATCGATCTCATCAAAGTTTCTTTTGGTTTTACTCTTCCAGGCATTCTTGTTGTAAGCCAAATCCTTTCTAGCTAAAGCTGGCCGATTTGCTCGATGATCGTTGTTGTTGTTGGCTGCCAATTCCCATAGATCGCTCTGTGTATTGATGTCGCGCTGATACTTCAATGCCTGCTGAGCAAGATCCTTAAAGACGAAAAGCACTCTGAGAAAAGCAAGCAGAACGATTAAATTAAAATCAGATGGGTTCAAGAATGAGGAATATATTATTTATTATTAAAGTTATTATTGTCAACAAAGGTGATTAAGGAGTATTGGATAGTTCCAATTTTTTTAGCTAGATTGGCTTAATACTAATTTTAATTCTTATTCCATTTTGATTTGATTGTTAAAAATGTCAATATTATTTTAATTTGGTAATTAAATATTACTTACCTTAGCACTAGTTTTCCGTCAACGTTTTCCAAGAAAGCTTTTGAAACCAAAGGAAATTGTTGAAAATATATTATGATCCGTTCATATATTTTGTTTGTTATAAATATATTTTAATAAATGAATATTTATTTTTATATTCTCTGCACCTTACACTTCTTGCCAAAAATTTGTTTTATAAAACGTTTATTAGATAAACAAAAGATAAAATAAAAGATATATTTAAATATATAAACAAATCAGGAAATGAGCGAGGGAACATGAGAGTTAACATTTAAATAAATAAGGAATAATAATAAAATATTGGAATAAAATTTGGAATTACAATGAAAGGCAGAATACAGAAAATGAACGATTGAAGATACAAGAGATCGTGAAGGTAAGAGAGAGAATAAGACTGAGAATGATAATGATAATGATGATAATGAACATTTGTGTTTCCTGACATATTTTCATTCCGGTTTCATATTTCGTATTCCCTAATAGTATAGGGATGTGTCAAAAGTAGTCCCTAATAACAATCAGTATAAACAATTATATGTACATATGTATTTCACATAAAATGCTTTATTACCTTAGATAATTTATACATTGATAGTGCATTGGGAGAGAGTTGTTAATTGACTTTACATTTTGAAAAGTGATATTAGGTCATGATATTCTGGTTAATAATAATGGTTAATAATATAGGGATTTCTTGATCAAATGTCCCCCACCAATACTGTCTAGATCGCGCTTCGCCTGACGATTCGATGGATTCTTTTCGGAATAAGCTTTCTTTTGACCCAGTGGCAGGACAGTTAATTTCGGAAACAGGTTAAATATATTATCAGGTATGATATCTCTGCTGGATTGAAGAATGTAGTAGCTGCCATAATTTAACTGTACAGTTGAAGCATCTGAATAAAATGAACAATAAACGAAAGAAAACATGCATGATATTTAGCAATTATTTTACAATAAAAAACAAATATGAAAGTTAATTTTCATAATAAAATAAAATTAATATCATATATAATTATAAATAAGGTATATACATTAGACTTATATAACTTATGTTTATTTATGCTAACTAAAGATGAATATTTATAAAAGTAGTTATTACTTGTAATTGAACTTAAATGGGAGAGAATCGAATGATTGCTTAAATGGACTTTATGAACATGTACAGATGTTTTGAGAATATATACACATTTATATTTTAAAGTTTTCTTTTATATTTGGGAAGGAAAAAATGCGTTAAACAAAAAGGGGAGAATTGAAGAACAAAAATATTCTAACAATGTTTGATATACTTAATTTGGTATTACGAACTAAATAAGTTAGCATAACTAATGTCATCCACTTCTGAGAGAAAATCAATATCAAAGTTGGGAAAGGGTTGAATTATATTATATATTATTGTAACTCCTTTGCTTTTCACTTAACGCTTTTCGCATATGAAAAAAAAAAAAAATAGACCCCATATAATGTCATCTTCTTAAAGAAGAAAATATCAATATAAGATAATAAAAAAGCAACGTAATTGGAGAAAATAATCACAATAACTTCTCGTATTGTCTGTTGGTATTATCGCAGGGCTCTAACACAATCGGTGGAAGCTGAAAATAATAATAGTGAAAGGAAATCTTGTTAAAATGGCGAGAGAGCTGAGAAATGGAGTTAGTAATCCTGTTGACAACATGGTACACAACATCATTTCCAGTAAGTCCAGTATCTAAACAAGCGCCAAAGCTAGAAAATAATCAAATATTTATTTATATTTAATTATCTATGTATATAGAATTATGAGTATGTAAGTTTAACAATAGGGAATAAAAATCACTGACAGCAAGACTTAGTAGCCAATAATATAAACTTTGCTTATATTATTAGCATAAATACTTTACTGTATTGAATAACTTTGAATTTCGAATATAAGTTTTATATTTTTTAATACTTATGTTATTTTTATTATTATATATATTTTTAAAAATACTTTAATTCAACTTATTCAACTTGGAAGCTTGACCAACGCATAATGAAATCTAAGGAAAGACTGTTCTCTTCACAGCGACATCAGCTCATTTTATACCAAATTCCGGAAGGATGGAAAAACAGGGTGTTGATAACAAAGTGGGAACATACAACTGAAAAGCATGCCCTTTATAATTAAGTTAGTTGTATTTAGATACCCTGCAAACTTTGTCTTGAAAAGGTCATATGAAACCTATTAAGAATATGGCAAAATTAATAGAAATATTTATAAATAAAAGAATGCTTAAATGCATCGTAAATATTTTATATTTATCATATTATATACATATGTAGAATATATTATATCTTATATACATATATTTTATATTTATATTATTAATATATTAGATATGTATAAGATGTACCTGTGCTATAAGTACTAAAATAAATGTTGATAGAATTTTATATTTACTTTATATATATGTTTTATCAAATTTATACATCATTTACATATACGTTTGTATATATACTACATTAGTGAGTAATGATTCTAGAAATTAGGGTAGGGAACTTAGGGTATTTCCTGTTTCAACTTCAGTGGTGCTGAAAACTATTCTGTGGCCTTTCTGCGTCATTTCCACCATATTTCCCATAATTTGTGGTAAACACTTCAACAAACAGAGCTTAAGTAAGAAGTTGGCAAACATTCATTTCTATGTGCATTTGGTTGAAAATAATCTTGTGCAGACATTTGAAACATATGTTCGCTTATCTTTTTGCTTTTTATATATTATCAAACAAGGTAGCTAAGGAAAATTGACAAAATGGGCTAAAAAAACATGTAACTCTCACATACATATGTAATATAGGCTTTGTTATTAAATATTATTAAATGAAATTATATGGTATATATGTAGATATATAAATATCGCATAAAATATATAAAATATGAGTAATACATCAATCTAGGAGTTTGTCACATATTCTCTTCCAGACTAAGCTATAGCATAAGCCGAGGCGATACTACTTTTTATTTATTATAGACATGTATTATCATTAACTATATATTATTATACACAACTGTAATTTACATTTACTACGATATTTATTGCTACTACATACTCCTTTTTATTATTATTTAGTACTATAACTGCAATGTCTACTACCTTTTTCTACTGTTTAATACTATATATTACTATCTACTACTTACTACTATATATAAAACTACTATAAATGAACCCAAGCAATTAAGCATCCGAAATACAAGCGATTTTAAATATCATATTAAAAGGGAGCTCTTATACCACAGATGGGGTTGACAGAAGGTAGCAAAGCCTTAAAGTCATGGACGAAGTCTGCTGGCTTTCCATCGACTTTGTAAGCCTTTCCAGTTACATTTCAAAATCTCATTTGAGAGCAGCATTTGCAGTCGTTTATCACCTGAGATGGAGATGATGAGCTTTATGAAAAAAAAAACACGCCAATAGCCAATATGCAGTACAATTTGTTTTTATTTCACGTTTTTTTTTTTAATACATTTCTAATAGCTGGCATACAAATACCAAATCGATTTCAAATTTGAAATTTCAAAAAAGCACATCAACTTATCTTTATTCGATCACTTAAAAGCACGTACATTAATTGTGAATATATAATTGATGGTTGATTGTGTGTATGTCTGTGTGTGTGTTAGTTAGTTAGTTTCTCGCATTAGTAAAATATATAAATATGTATCTTACAGAGTACAAATATGTTACAACATACACTTTGACAGTCGCCTGCCGAAATACAGAGTTTGAATTAGTTAACAAATGTATAGACCTAAGTAATAATGAGAGTGATAAATTCTTTTCGCTATTAGCCATGATCAAAACAATAAGAATGATACTCGCGTCCGCCTGGCGTCCCCCTTGGCTCTTCGAGCCATTCCATAATGTCACATGCTCCCCTCGCTGCTGCTGGTTGTTCCTTTCGAGTCGCACATTCCGCCCGAGACGTTGTCATCGCCGCGCACCGAGCCCGACGTGAGTCCTCCCGTAATACCAGTTAAATTTAATTTGTACTGGAAATGGAAATATTATTAATGAGTGAGTTCATTTCTATAAGTTTGAAGAAATATAAATTTAGCAATATCTCAGTAGAAAACCAACACCATTTACCCAGTTAAATATTGGAACCATCAGGTTGGTTCTAGGATCTAAATTAGTTGAACTAAGCCAAAGACATGTCCAGCTGTCCTTTGAGACCTGTAGCCTAAAATATATCTGTTCGTTTAGTAGTGCACTAAACCAATCTAGCCTACGAATTTGCGATGCTACTACTCTAGTCATACTCTACTAGTCATACTATTCTCTAGTTAGTTTGTGTGGAACAAGTGAAATTTGGTTTGCCTCTCGGGCAAGTGAACTAAGTGAAGTGTACAATTGTGATCATACGGACGGACAAACTAGCGTATTTTGCACAAGACAAAACTATCTTTTGCTTTGTGAACCGACTCTATATATGGTGATTTGCTAATCGAATCGTACTTACCTTATTTGCGCACTCAAAACATTTCGAGACAACTTTGTTTATCACATTCATAAGATTTTTGGTTTCCCTTATGACGTGATCAACTTTCACAAATGTTGCAGCCTTGCCGACTGTGTGGTCTTTCACAGTAAATTGCAGAGCTTGCACACAAGTCGGCACTCTATCTAAAATACTTAGAAGATCCTTCTTGTTATCACTTGCAGGTACCTGAAAATATATACATGTAATTTTTTATTTATACATGTGTTTGATGTATTCAAAATGTCATTAGATTAAATATTTCTTTAATTAATTTTCTTCTAATTTCTTATGAAATCGGCTAGTTTCGGTGCTTAGTAGCGTTTCAGTCTTATTTTGAATCAACAGACTATTAACAGCCTTTAACTTGTAGAAGGTCATATTATAGGTCATGTTATATCTACTTATAGATCCTGTTCTCAGTTCTGTGTTCCCTGTTCTGTTTTAAGTTGCCCGCTTCCCGTTGTTTCCTGCTCCCTGTCGTACTCTCTTGTTCTACGTCCCATTTTGTGCTTCACGTTGTCTGCTCCTCTTTGTTACTCGTTCCCCCTGCAGATCCCATTCTCTCTGCTTTCTGTTCCCAGCTACTTCATTTCCACTTAACGTACTCTACGTCTTCC